ATTTGTGATAGGAGGCATTTACCAAAGAGTCAGTGTTTTAACATGGAGAGGTGTGAAGGGAGAAAAAATGACAAGGCTTCAGAAAAGAGCCATAAAATGGACCTGAGATGTGGCCAAAAGGCCTTGGTTTGACAATTGAAAAAATGACAAGGCTTCAGAAAAGAGTCATAAAATGGACCTGAGAGGTGGGCAAAAGGCCTTGGTTTGACAATTAGACAGAAGGTTATTTGAAGGCATTGAACTAATAAGAAGACTGAGGGGTGTCTTGATCAGACACCGTAGAGGTATTGATTCCAAATGGGACTGCATTTTCTGGAAGCATCATTGTCTGTTTTTAAACTAACTGATGTGGGCACTACAGAAACACAGTGTGCCAGGTGGTTTGTGATGCCTAAGTAAAGTGTTAGTTAAATACATAGCCTAATTTTCAGGCTGTATCCTGCTAGTTTTACTCAATGTAATTAATTGAAAATATGGTCTTGTAGGCTGTGGTCATACCTCTGACCACGGTGCATATAAACCCTGCAAGAGTCTGGAGAAATTTAACAGGTATTAAAAACTGCTTTTCTCTGGCTGAGAAACTTCAGCAGCAGGTTTGGTAAATTCAGATTAGGATATCATACAAATGCATAACAGCAAGAATGTTCACAATGGCATTTATAATTAACCAATTGTCATTTGATAAAGCCTGAGTGACTTTTTGTAAGGGATGCCCCAAATGCTGTTGGCTGTTTGGTTTGGGTGAAAGCTCTGTAGAAGGTCAGACAAGAAAGTGGACCCTACAACATATCACATGCTCAGGGCCATTTTTAATAGAGCATCTTTGATATGAGGAGAGCCTGAGACAGCTGAAACTCTTCAGCTTGAAAAAGAGAAGGCTCAGAGGGGATCTTATTAGTGTATATAAATACCTGATGAGAGGGAATAAAGAAAATGGAGGCAGACTCTTCCTAGTAGTAGATGGGAGTCTCCATCTGTGGAGATACTGAAAACTTGGCTGGACACCTTCCTGGATAACCTACTTCGGCTGCTACTGCTTGAGTGGTAGAATTGGATTAGATGATCTCAAGAGGTCCCTTCCAGCCTAAACACCTCTGTGATTCTGTCATCATAGCGCTGCCTCTGTTATACAGAGGTTACCCTGTCTTTGGCTCTTGACATATATGAAGTGCTTTTCTGCACCAAATATATTAATCAGTTTGGTTGAAGAGCCAGACTAACATTACCTAGAGTAAGGCGCTGTGTCCATAGGCTAGCTCCTCCTCAGCATCTCATGATGGTGTGAATGATGTCAACTTTTTGCTGCTGTAATTAGAGATTCTTTTGAGGAATTAGGGTTTCTCTCAGTCCACAGCCTGGAAACAGGACCTCTAGCAGGGATATAACGCAGCAAGGATAGTGGAGGAAAGAACACTTTTGAATAGGACTCTGCCTGCTGCCTGCAGTACAGCACAGCCAAATGGTGAGTGCATCCTGCCCAGCACCCTGGTGGTCTCCTTCTCAGCGCTTGTCACTCTGCAAAGGGAAAATGGCACTTTAGAAGGTATCAGAGGTGTAGATTCAGAGCACCCAGGCACACTCTACTCAGTGATTAGCCAAATTTGGCTCTCAGTTATCTTCCTAGCTAATGGCAGTGGCATCTTGGAGAAAGACCTGACAACTTTGGCTATTTCCTGAAGTACGGACCGTGTCCTGTAATTAATGTCTTCAAGAGCAGCAAGGGCTTAAAGACTGCAGACTGTTCTGGAGTGACTGCAGCTGGGGCTTCTTTTATATGGAACCCTAATCAGACCCACAGATCACAGACCCTCACTCTACCCATATCTTCTGGCTGATCTGGTTTTCCAAGCTGGCTCTTTCAATTTAGTGCTCTACTCTGTACCGAGATCATGTGTCCTCCCATGCTGGTGGGGCCATGAGTGGAAGTATGGATCCATGCCACCTATGTTGCAATTGACTTGAATCGTGGAGTGGAAGGACACATGAATGTTTTAGATTTGGTTTGGGTTTGGGTTTTTTTGCAAAAGCTTATGGACTGAAGTGTTTTGACTCCCAAAACTGAAGTGAGAACCAAGAAATGCGGAAAAGCATATACTCCCATTCACAAAAGCAAGTTTTCACAAGCAGGTTTTCACATAGTAAATAAGAGAGAGGTAATGAATAATATAAAATGGATGAATCATCTTATAATTTTATACAAATAAAAACATATTAATTAATAGGTATTTGAAAAGTATATAATTATTGAATAATACTCTAAGTGGATGCAGCTAATCTTCGGGCTAGATAGCACAACAGGTGGTCAGCATACAAGGGAAGAAATTTTATCTAACTCAAATTTGAGAAGTTATCTGAGAAGATCATGAACCATTTGCTGACAAGAACTTGTATATGACCACGAATCTGATATAGGAGAAACACTATCTTACATAAGAGATCTTTAGGTATTTTTTTCACAAATATAAATCTAATGTATTCTGCACATGACAAGCAGATATGTCTCCTGCTGTTCCACTCCCTATCTAATGTGGCTTTAGCCTATCTAATATCAAAGGGAGGTCTATGCCTTTCCAAGGCCCATTACACTTTGAGATTTTTCTATATATTCCACTTGAATTTTTCTCTATATAACACCTAAATGTGGAAACACCATTTTGGAAGTGGCTTTGCCAGACTGGGTCCATTTGCAGGTTGTGGTGGCACCATGCCTTTGTGGTGTGGAATTTCACAAGCTGCATTGGCTGGGCAGCAAACAGGAGGACATCAATGCAAAAACTCTAAAATACTTTCCAGACTATCTTTCCCTTTGAGTTCTCCCTAGCCGTCCTTTCATCCCCTCCCATGCAAGCACTTGTTCATTGTTGCACTCCCTATGGACCATACTAATTTTGACTGCTGTTGGCTCTCACGTCAAGCCAAAGCCTTTGTCGAGAAGTAGGGCCAATTACTTGATGCTTCTGAAACTTTAGCAATGCAGTCTAAGAGAGAAGGGAAGGGAAAAGTAGAAGAACTGCCCAACAAATAGTCCCAGTCTTCTGTTTTAATCCATCCTTTTTGTAGTTTTCCTAGGTTTAAATCATTCTTTTTCTAAATTACTTTATTCTTAAGAATGACCGGATTTAGCAGCAGTGAGGCTCCTCAGTAGAAGAGAGATCTGGACATACTTGAACACATCCATTCTGTGAAGATGGTTAAGATACTGGAGCATCTCTCGTACGAGAAAAGGCTAAGAGAGGTGGGACTTCTTTAGCCTCAAGAGGAGAAGGCTTGAGGGGATCATTTTATTGATGTGATGAATATCTGCAAAAATATACAGCCAGGTGTATCACAGTGTCTGGTGATACTGAGTGACAGGACAGGAGGCAGCAGGCCTGAAACAGAATTTCTATTTAAGCCTAAGAAAAAAATCTTTTTTACCGTAAAGGTGATTGAACACTGGAACAGTTGCCTACAGCAGTTGTGGAGTTTCCATCCTTGGAGATATTTAAAACTGGACTGGACACATAGTCCTGCTTTATTTAACTCTCCTTCGAGCAGGAGGTTGCTCTATGTGATCTCCACAAGTACCTTCTGGCCTCAACTATCCTGTGACTCTGGTTCTTGTGACCTTGCTCCAGAGCCAGAAGAGACTCCTAGGCCTGAGGTGCCTGTGTTCAGAGCACAGGGAGGTAGACAGGGAGAAAGTGCTGCCACAGGTGCCTTAAAATGCTGCCTTATAGCTGTCTGGGGGAACTGAAAATGTATTGCTCTCAAGTGGGTCTGAAGCAGCTGGCTGTAGCTCAAAATGCCATTGATCTCTAAGCTTACTTCCTGCCTCAGTTTCTTGGCTGCATAGATGAGTGACTTTGAGTCAGAAAAATGTCAGCAGGCTTGTGAGGTACTGAGCTCCCTTTGGCTTCCTTGGAGCACTCTGAGTAGTAAACCCTTTTATGTCATGTACTAGCTGTGCCTCTGCCTAAGAGGCAAGCCTGGCTCTGCTGCTATCTCAAGGACTTTCTTCACTAAGTAGCAGGGGTTGGGTTTCTGAGTAGAGAGACAAGGTCTTGCTGCACTAGGCTAAGGAGAGCAAGAGGGGTGACTGGGTCATGCTTGATTATCTGGGACTCAATGCTTTGCCTATTGCCTAATCTGCAAAAGGATTAGAGGGCTGAAGGAAGTTCCCTTCAATATAGGGACCTTTTATGTGACGAGGGGCTTTGCCCAGAGGTGTGCTGTATAAAAGTACAAGTTCAACTCTACCACAGCTGCAAGAGTGCTCAGGCTCCAAGTGGCAGAAATATCCCCTGCCATGGCATGGTTTCTTTGGCATGTCCAATCTGGCTTTGTCTGTTAATGTTGTGATGTTCCTGACTCTGGCTGTGATGTTTCTGCAGCACTCAGCAATGGCAGAGAGCTCAGCTGCGACTGCAGCAGCAGCAGGGACCATGGCACCAACCATGCTAGATGAGCTTCTGGAGATCACCGCTCAGAGTCTGGTGCGCACCGAGGTGGCTGAGCACTATGAGGTTATTCGGGAGCTGGGCAGGGGCAAGTATGGCCACGTGATGCTAGTGACCCACAGGCAGAGAGGTAAGGAACTGACTGCACCCTGTGAACTACTGTGCCTTGTCTCCTCTCCACTCACCAGGGTGCTGGATGTGCTGGTGGCTCCCTGGGGCCAGGCACCAGGCACGGCGGGGGTGGATCCCCAGGGAGACCTGCAGGATGGGGACCTACCCATCCAGGAACCATACCATTAAACCCAGCCAGGGAGCAGGTGATGCCAGGGGACAGCACAGAACAGCAGGCCAGGTTGTAATGATGGGGCAGGTCCCAGGTCAAGATGGGAAGTCAATCCACAAGTCAGGATCAATAGGGTTCACAGCTAGCGGTATAGCTGGAAACCAGCAGTCCCACCACATTGCTCAGACAGGGAGTGACCCAAGGCCCATGGATGCAGGGTGTGAATGAAGGTCTGGGTTGACCATATGAGTGCTTACAGGGCCCTGACACTGCTCTTCCCCAGTAGTCCCAGCTCAGACTGATGAGTCCACATATCCTGAATGTCCCTTGCTCTGCCCTGTGCTCCTGTGCATGCACTGACTTGCTCAAAACTCACACTAGTGGCAGTGCCTGCTCCCAGACCTAGTGTCCCCAGTGTATACCCACACAGAGCTTTGGACCAGAGACCTCCCTGTGGCTGTTAGTGCCCAGATCCATGGCTGTTCAGTGCTCTCTCTGTCCTGCCTTGGTGTGAATGACTTCCAGAGAAGTCTAACGTGCTCTCTCCATCCCCAGGGACTCCTATGGCTCTTAAGCTGCTACCCAAAGCCAGTACCAAGCTGCACACCTTCCTGTACGAGTATTGTGTGGCGCTCTCCCTCGCCACCCACCCTGCCATCATCAGCATGTTTGGAATTGCCATTGAGTCCAGCCAGTACTATGGCTTTCTCTATGAACCAGCACTGCACAAAGACCTCATCTCTATCATCAAACCCCGCGTGAGTGTTGCTACAAGGCTATGGGGACTGAGGCTGTAGCATTTGGCCCCTGTGTGGGCTGGCTGGGTCAGTGGGAGGGAGATATAGGCAATGGAATGTGAGTCTCTCTGGGGTCTGCAGCATTGAAGCACCCTTGGGCTTGCAAGATGAGAAATCCCCAGAGCAGAGCATGTGGGTGGGAGCCCAGCTGGCAAGGCTGCCAAGGTGCCCTGCATGTGCCATACTGCCTGTCTCTCTCCCTGTGCAGGATGGGATCCCTGAGCCAGCTGCAAAGCAGTGTGCCAAGCAGCTCGTGAGCGCACTGGAGTTCATCCACAGCCGAGGGCTTGTGTACCGTGACATCAAGCCTGAAAACGTGCTGCTTTTTGATCCCGACTGCCGGCTCATCAAACTGACTGACTTCGGGCTCACGCGGCCCAAGGGTACCAAGCTGAAGCTGGTGGCTGGGGTAATCCCCTACACTGCCCCCGAGCTGAGCAACACTGCTGATGCCCAAGGGGTGCCCATTGACACCAGCATGGATGCCTGGGCCTTTGGTGTGCTGCTTTTCTGCCTGCTGACCGGCTACTTCCCCTGGGAGCAGAGTCTGCCAGATGACCCTTTCTTTGAGGACTTCATGCTGTGGCAGGAGACAGGCCTAGAGAAGGACCTGCCCCGCCACTGGAAGCGCCTGACAGCCGAGGCTGCCCTGATGCTGCGGAGCCTGCTGGCACTAGATCCTGCCAAACGTGGCCCTGTCAGTGGGGTGCTGAGCTACGTTGACTGTCCTTGGAGGCTGGAGGATGGGCACAGCAAGGAGGCTTCTGTGAAGTCCTAGACCCTGCTCCCCATGGCAGGAGTGAAGGAGAGTCTGGCAAGGGACTTCATCGGAGTCTGGGGCACCATGGTGACCTGGGTGTGAGAGCAACCTCTCTGCAGCACTTTCCCCACTGCCATGGAGTCAAGATCCTTCCTCAGCTGATGGTTTTCACCCCATGACATGGTGCTGCCAAGTGCCACCTCCTTGTGCTTCCTTGGGTCTTGAAAATATCTCCCTTCTCTTGGAAATGACTGTCCATGTGTGAAGCATCCACTTGTTTCCTGGCCACAGGGACTTCAGGGAGTTTTCTAGGCTGCAGCATCTGCCTTGTCTCAAAACTGAGCAAAATGTGTATTTTTGTGTTTCTTTGTGTGGCTCTTTTTCCCTCATAATAAAATGACTGTTGGGATCTGCTTACTGTGGGAGAGCAGGGGCATGACAGAGCTTGTGGCTATCTCAAGAGATCCTATCCAAGGCAGGGGCCATCCCTACATGCTTTCTGGGCCTCCACCAGGACCCTTGAAGGGTGCGTTCAGGTTGGCGAGGTGGAGATGCTGAGGAGCCCCCAGCTTGTGGCTACAGATGGTAGCTGGGGAATGATTATGGCACTGAGATTGTCTAACACCAGCCCAAGTACATCTTGTACATAGACTGCCTTCAGGTCATAAGACGGTGTCCTTCATGCTCTTTTAGATGCCTGGTCACCCCTGTAGAAGACCTTCCTTTTCCCATTTTCTATCACTACTTTAACCCTTCCCCAGCAACACATCTCTCCTAATCCCCCAGTATCATTCTAGGTGCACATTGTTATCCTGGGAAGAGACAGCAGGGAGAGAATTAGGGGTTAGTGGTGCTTCTTACTTTTCTACCTTTCTCAGGTCCCTAGGATTATGCTGTTGGTAAGCCCTTCCAGCTCTTAGTTCAATCCTTTTGTTGAAAACATCCCCAGCTTGGTTTCTACTCTCAGGGCCTTTGTAACTTCTAAAAATGCAGTGTTCCAGCACTACACTTTCCATCATCCCAGCTTTTCTTTCATCTCAGACCCTTTTCTGCACACACTCTTCTGCAGTTCCCAAACCTCCAGCTATTTTTTTTCCAGCTCCTTGTCCACCACTGGCATTTTACTATCACTTAACTTTCCTACTGGCAACCCATCACCTCATAAACACCTTTTGTTCATTCCTGTCTCAGCAAGATCACCTCCATATTACTATTTTATACTTTTCCTGCTCCCTACATTGCTTATCCCTTGTGTTTTCCTTCCAGCTCCCAAACCTACCTTACCAACCAGCATCATGCTCACCCTGTTCAAGATAGTTTTCTTCTGTCTGCTTCCATCTCTTAGAATCTTTCATTACCCAAAATTATAATAAATTCTGCTCAGCTCTAGCCTGCTGAGATTTGGCTTTAATTGCTATTTGATTAATGTAGGAATAGCAGAGGAGTAGTAAGGTGCAAACACAGTTCCTGTATTTGAAGTAGAGAAGTCCTAAAACCAATAGATCTATAGGCCAGGTAGCTGGCAACTATCCAGTGAAACATAATGGAAAATCTGATACAGATGCTTGCTAATAGAGAATTACAGAACAGGAATGTGGCTTTTTGGAATGTGACAATCAGCACTCAATTTTAAATAAAGTTGTGTTTGATAAAGTAAATTAATAGCATTATGGTACACAGTTTTTGTAAGGCATGACCTATTGATATAAAGAAAAGTAAGGTATGCTGTATTGATTAAGAAGATGTCCTATGCAAAGTCCATAAAGCATTTATTAAGTGAATTGAGAACTTTCAATGGACAGAAGAAATAATGGTCAGTTTGGAATGCTCTTTGGTTATTTCAGTTGGTTTTTGCAGGGATCAGTAGTTGAATGAAAACCAACCCACACTTCCAGCCATGATTTCAAGGAAATACAAAGCCTCTGCAGGAAAACCTGAACACTCTGCAGATGACACAAACATGAATAGGGTGATACACAGCAAGAGGAGCAGCCACTCAGAGAGATCTGGGTAACTTGGTGAGTTGGGTGTATTCAAACAAAATACATTTTCTTACAGGCAAGATAAATGTATTCAGCTAGGAACACCTGGGAATAGAAATTATCCCTACAGAAAGACCCCTGAAAATCTTGACAAGTCACAGAGGATACACAAGATTGCATGAGTTCTCATTGTGTTCTTCTGTCAGAAAAGGCTAATGAGCTCTTTGCATGGCTAAAGAGGGGCAGACAGTCAAGGTGGTCAAATCTCCAGCAAAGGCAGATAAAAAGATTCCAAGTGGGAGGTAGAAGTGAATGATCAGCATTTGATGTCTCATGGGGAAATCCCTGGGGATGGCGTCACATTTACAGGCAAGCTGGAAAAATGGAGACTGCTCAGAAAAGAACTGTGGTGGGATTGTGGTTTAAGGCTGTAAGAAAGCCTTACAGAAAGTAAAGATAGGAAGACTGGATGGTGATTTGGTTATGGTAGAGATTATTGGAAAGGAAATACCACCTACTAATGGCCTATTTTAATTTGAGAAAGGTCCTAGAGCAACCATAAGAATCTGAAGCCAGACATACTCAAAAAAGCCTAAACACTGCAGTAGTGAGGGTTCTTGCCTACTGAAAGAAACCATCATATGAGGAGATTCTGAGAGAATGGGGAGTGTTCAGCCTGGAAAGGAGGAGGATCAGAGTGGATATTACAATTCTTTATACTTCCAGGCACAAATATAAACTGGGAGAGGAGTGGCGGGAGCAGCCCTGCAGGAAGGCATCTGGGGGTGCTGGTCAGCAGCAACTCAGTGTGAGTCAGCAGTGTGTGCCCTGGCAATCCAGAGCCCAACCCCCATCCTGGTGTGCATCACACACAGCATCACCAGCCAGCCAAGAGAGGTATTTGGCATTGGTGCAGCTTTACCTCAAACGCAGTGTGCAATGCTGGGCCCCAACAGTTAAGAAAGCTGTGAAGGTCCTTGAATGTGCCCAGAAGAAGGAAATAAAGCTGGTGACAGGGCTGGAAGGAATGTGCTGTGAGGAGCAGCTGAGGACTTTGGGCTTGTGTAATTTGAAGAAAAGGAGGCTGAGGGGGAACCTCATTGCTCTCTACAGCTCCCTGATGAGGGAAGGGGGAGAGGGAGGTGCTGAACACTTCTCTCTGGGAAACAATGACAGGACACATAAGAATGGATCAAAGATGCACCTGGAGAGGTTCAAACTGGGCATTAAAAAGCTTCTTAGAGAGGTGGTCAATGCCCCAAGCCTGTCAGTGTTTAAATGGCCTTTGGACAATGCCCTTAACAACATGCTTAAACATTTGGTCAGCCCTGAAGTGGTTGAGCAGCTGGACTTGATGACTTTTGTAGGTGCCTTCCAACTGAGATTTCTATTCTATTCTATTCTATTCTATTCTATTCTATTCTATTCTATTCTATTCTATTCTATTCTATTCTATTCTATTCTATTCTATTCTATTCTAATGTATGTGTCTAAATAAATAGTAGGAGGGTGTTGGGAAAGGTGAAGGTTCCATGCGGGGAAGCAAGCGGCCGACTCCGTGTGGGTGATACAGCAAGCTCCAACTTTATTGTCCGACAGGCTCTTTTTTATACAGTGCAGGACAGGCATACAATTATCAATCATTTTTAATTGGCTAGGCTCTAAAGATAGCATTCAGGTACTCTCCCTACTCACAGCTGCAGCTGTGAGGCTTATCTCCTGCTTTCCCAGGCTTGGGTGCATTCCTAGCTGTTTTTCTCGAACTTGTTTGTTTCACCCTCAAGGACGGGCTACCCCTGCCATCTGCCATCTGCCCAGCTGAGTTACTCCCTACCTATCTCTATATAAGTTACTATCTCCAGAGCCTTGCTTGTACACTGCATTCCCAGGTGTGTTCCCAGGACTGTGTCTGTACGTTCCCAGGGGACTGTGGCCTAGCTCTTTTTGGCCTTCCCCAGGATTATGTCCCTGCTCTCTTAGCCATTCTCCAACAGGAGGGTATAAAAAAACACAGCCAGAATCTTCATAGTGGTACTAGGTGACAAGACAAAAGGCAATGTGCACAAATTGAAATGCTGGAAATTCCATTTAAACATAAGAAAAATGGCTTTATGGTGATGGTGGCCAAACTTTGGAACATTGGTTGTGTCTCTGTCTTTGGAGATGTTCAAAAGATGCTTGGACAAAGCTCTGGTAAACTATCTGTTTCTGTTTTGAGCAGGAGTTCGGTGTAGGAAATCTCCAGATGTTCTGTCCAGCATTGGTCATGCTGTGATTCCACAACATTTTTCATTTTGAGGATGTTCTTTGTTGTAGCTGGGGATGTGTGGGGCTCCAAAACATCTCTACTTTGGAACTGCTCAGCATGTTCTCAGCAGAGCTGGGCACAAGATGCAAAACTGGCTTGACAAGAAAGGATTAGCAAGATTTTAGGGTTTAATACAAAGCAAAGTAAACTTGAACTGATGGAACACTGACATCTTTGGGAAAACAGGCCAAACTGTCCAATGCCACCAGGACCAAGGCTGGCTTTTTTGCAGGTGCCTATTATGCCAATGAGGATTGGGGATTTGATGCTGCCTGACAAAGACAATGTGACAGAGGCTAATGGCAGTGAGAAGTGGCAATGACCAGGATTGTTTCTGTCTCCCTTGTCACAGAGCATTGAGACTTCGGTAGAAGGGGTTCTTGCTGCCACAAAGTTGTGTGATACATAGCAAAGTGGTGAAATCACCACTGGTTGCATCATGCATGTGTTGGTGGTGCAGACAGAGCTACAACAGAGCAAGCACAGCAGTGTGCACAGCGGCAAAAGCCCTGCCCTGGGCAAAGTCCCCAGCCTGGGCTCCTTTTCTGAGTGGCTTGATCATAATTGCAGCTGGATTTCTTAAATCAATAAATAAACAGGCATGATTAGGTCTATCCCCAGGGGGTCTGAAAAAGGATCTGCTTGTGCCCATCGCCCCCACAGCAGCTGCTGGGAAGGGCTGAATGGAATGGAGCTACATGCAAACATGTTGGCCCTTTGCACGCTGG